TTCATTGGCGTTTCACGGTGTCCAAACATGACCCATCGATTTCTGTCATTTTATTTGCGTTATTTGTCGTCATTGCTATCTTATTCATCATCGGGAAGCTTTAAAAGTTTGAAGTTTTATCTAAAGTTCATTGTTTGTAATTATAGATCGAGCAGGCAAGGATTCAGTTGAATGTTTCGAAGCTACATGTCCGTGATGAATTTACCAATCTCCGCCCGAAATACTGGGGGCATTCATGTCTTTGCTATCTTCTTTATTCTTGTGATTCGATTCTTTTCTATTGAAAGTATTTACTCAATCCATTGACTACCATTGTCATAACGACCGGACCCCAGTTTTACCAGTTCACATACTCGTTACTCGTCTTTAGGATCCTGATGCCGCCTTTTTTCCCTCGATATCCTCCAGCCGTCAACTCCAACTAGCCCCAACAGGATGACCCATTGGAAGCCTCCTCGCAATACCATATTCATGAAAATCATCTGCTCTAAAAGTTCAATGAAGTTTTTTAGGATAAACCACACACGACTGCAAGCGACTCCCACAAATTCTGACTACTCTCAAGGCACTACCCTAACGCGAAGATCTGGGCTTTTAGCTGAGTATTGTCACTAAAACAACGAATTCTATCTATCTTCAACTGCGGATTGTGTGCGAGGCATTCTTTGATACGAATGTATGGATGAATTCTGGAGACATGGCACAAGGGAAGATCCCACATAGATTAAGGCTTGATTTGTCTAATCCGACTACTACTGGTTTATCAAGTATTCACTCTCTACAATACTTCCTTCAAAGCCGCATGCCTGATGATTCCGGATACAGAAACAACTTGTTCAAAGCCTGGCTAGGCGTTAATGGGAATATCCGAATGGGAAGTGATACGAGATGGATATGAAGCTTTCAAACTCCCCCCTTAACTCGAATACTTCACGCACAGATCAAAGTAAATCTCTTACGCTGAAATCCCTCTTCTTCCCAGACAATGTCATCTCGACAAATAGAACCGACACACCTTCTCGGCTATCTTCAAACTCAAACCTACAAATGTGAACCCCTATCACCAGTATCATAACCATCAACACGCCCCACAAAAGGGCGCATTCTTGCAGAGATCTACCATTCCTACGCTTTGTCCTGCCAAAACATACCACACGACCAACTCTCTTTCCACGACTTTTCAAAACCTTCCGCTATGGGTCCACAGAATCCGACATTCATTACAGAAGCGATTGCCAGCAGAATAACATGTACGAAACATGCCACGGCATCTCTATCCCCATCTTCTACCAAATAAATCCTTGCTTCACTCGAAAACCCATCTCAAGAAACAAAGTTAAGGACCCCGAGGGGAGATGAAGCGATGAACATGCAACCAGGAACAGTGTTCTAGGATAGTGGCACGATAAGCTTGACACGACTGTAACCAAGACTGGGTCCACCAGTCAGCGAAGGACAATACGCAGGACGCGCTTGCGGATCAAGGTGGAGGAAGATGGAAAAGAGATTCGATGCACGGATTGAGAATCTCGCAGTGGGATACTGTACGGCGCATCTGGATTTACGATACGAGACTCATCATGTTTTTGGGACAGGGCAATCATCATAATGTTGTCGGTAAATCTGTTATCTTAGAAACCCCGAATCTCAAGTATTCGCTTGATTTCTGTGATTTTCACCCATTACTTTGATCATCATTTCCTACTTTGGGGTTTGGTTTCACGTGTATACTTCCCGAGAAGTGAACATTAGGGGCTCGGAATGATTTAGGCACATACAATGAAAAAGAAATCGCAGAAATATTCAACTTAAAATTCTTTCTCGTTCATATGCAACTGATCAATGAGATATTAATTAGCTACTCGAGTAGTTATCTAAGATCACCACGAGCACCCAGTCATACGTAAACTGACATGCATTCTCCGACGCTTTTTGTATCTGTCTGTTTGTCTCTGCATAAATTTCTCATCATTTCCCTCACCGAGGACGATATAGATAGATAGATATAGGATTTTCCATCCCATGGAAAAGAAAAGATAGCAACGCCCAACTCCACGCTCAAGCACAAATCCGAACCCATGATTCCCGTTTCCATGCATGCAAGCTGCACACCACAGTGCACAGTCGCACAGGTTTCCCATTCTAATCAACACACTTCACTCCCACACACACAAACACAACCAAACCTACTTAACCCTCGCCATGATCGTCTCCCCCCCTCTCTCCAAATCTCCCATCACATTCCCCCACCTCTCCTTCACCCCCTTAAGCATACTCCTGTCAAAATCATCTCTCGCTCTCAACACCGCCTCCACCCAGCCAAGTTGCAAATCCCAATATTCCCTCTTGAACCCCTCTACCACATCCTGCACTGCTCCTTTTTCACACTCCAGAATCTCGAGGAAACTTTGCGTCACCGCCCATTTACCTACGATGATATTCCTTACATCTTCCGTGAGATATGTATTACTATTGAAGAATTCAAAGGCTGTTGAGACATCATTGAAAATTTTATCTTTAAATGGATCCGCTCTCTTGAATTTCGCGCCTTTGTTACGGACGCAGCCGAGATATTGAATGAGGAGTTCGATGGCGAGTTCCTCGATGAAGATGTCTAGTAGTGATTGATGAAGGACATTCTTATAATCATTGATATATTCTTCGAATGTGACAATCATTTGCTTCATAGCTGTATTTGTATACCATTTTGGTGTGAAGAAATCCGGCATGACGGTTTTGAAATCGACAGCGAAAATCAAGGTTGCGAATTTGGATATGCAATGGGTACTTAGATCGACATATCCATCGTTTAGACTAGTAATCTCGACGTCTACTCGTTCGAGGTATGTAGTTGAAACGAGCGGTTCGAATTTTTGTCTAAAGCTCGTAAGGTATCCGAATCGTCCCTCATCTTCATTATCATCAATACAAGCGATTTGATCGTTAGCAGTAGCAACAAGCCAATCCTGTAAAGCTTGGAAACCCTCCAGTTCAGTAGTTGCATTGAAGTATTTCGCGGCTTCAATATCAAGCATTTCTTGCCATGTTTGTTGACGAGTCTTCAGCCGCACGATCATGATATCAACCACCCCTTCAACGATATCCATTCTCTGACTAGCACCCGCAGCATCAATTTGTTCACGTAACATACGCCACATATCGACCAAGTTCTTCGTTCGAAAGTATCCATATTCATCCTGATCCAAATTCGAACCATCCACATTCCTCCCATCGAAATCTTTCTTTTCTGTGGCGAAAATCCGATCAAGCCATTCATCCAAGTATTTGATAATGATCTGTTCGAAATTCCTGATCATTTCCTGTTCTCTTCCATCTATAACATGCGGTTTTAATTCGTCCTTTTTAAACCCCAGCTTATTCATTTTCGTATAGTACTTTTCCGGCCAGTTCAATATCGCCAAATTATTCGCCTGAGTCGTCTCTTTATCATCGATCATATCAATGAGGAAATCATGCATCAACTGATGATAAATATTCCCATATGTCTTGAGGATTTTCCATTTCTTCGGCATCAGTGGTACCATCCCCTGTTTAACCGCATTCAGATCGTTGAAGAACCATCTCAAACCCTTTTCCAATTTCGAGGGATCCTCCAAAAACGTCTGTTTTGTCCCTTCAATGTCCGCCTCGGCCTTAAGCTTAATAGCCATCAAAAACTTTTCCTTATACCCTCTCGTACTCTTCGCCCCGTCCGTAATACTCTTGAATCTCGCCGCCATCTCCTTATGATCCTTCAACGCCTCCTGCAGCGCCATAACCCTCTTGTCACTCTTCTCCTCAGCCTCAATAACCACTGCCAGCCTCACCACCAAACTGCTATTCCCCTGCACAACCACCTCTATCAAATTCATAGCCACCTTCCCAATATGTTCATCAAACCAATCAATCGTATCATCCAGCCTCGCAAAGTAATCCTCCAACGTCCCCTGCAGACCCGCATCATCAGCCCTCAATATCTGTTCCATAGCATCATCCCTAATATTCCTCAACTGCGTCAATTCATAATGAATCGCGAGCAAATTCCCCATATTATCCTCATCCGCATCGTCCTCTCTCAAAAGCCCCTCCACCTTCGTTAACCTCTCATTAAAATCCACCAAGTTCCTGCGCATCGTTTCTACCGCCATGAAATTCCTATGCGTCTGGCTCACCAGATTAATATTCGGGAAATCCTTAATCATATTCTGCGCCTCGGCGCATAGCTTATCAATCTTCATCATCTCATCCTTGATCAACTGCACCGTTCGTTGGCCATCGGTAATCCCATGCATACCCGCCTGCGTAACTTCGAGTTGTTCTTTCAGACCAGAGCGCAGTTGCGAATCGACAGCGGATTTCTTGCGCGTATATTCGAGTTTTAGGGCGGGAATTTTGTCGAGGTCGTCGGGGTGGTGGAGGAGATCGGAGAGCTTGATGGAGGAGACATCCATGGTCATTTTTGCGGTGGTTTGGGAGCTGCAGGAGCTCGAGAGGGAGGGGAGTAGGGGTTGTGCGCGCAGATCTTATTTAAGACCAGATAGAAAAGTATAGCTCTCGCAGAGCTTTGTTAGCAATTCTAAATTCCTAAGGAAATAGTTCATAGAAATCGAATCAAAAATCCGTGCAATCAATAGAAAGTTCAATGGTGTATGAGACATTACGTGCATAATCCCAAAACGAGGACTAGCGTGGCATGTAACGGTGGAAAGAATTCCCGACTCCCGAGAATCCTGGTTTGATATTTACGATTTATTTCTCCCGATGGAACTTTCGATATACCGGCAACGGCGACATTTACAGTGCGGGACAAGCCATTGAATTTTGTGCTGATATTTGCAAGGTGTGTTATGACATTTGGTTCTTGCTTCTTTTATACGCACTGCGATTTACAATTTCTACTCCTCGCATTCACCTCTTCCTCTCCTTCATCTCAGAACAACCCCTCTAACCTCTCTCACAGGACATCCAAACCCACAACAACCACACAACCACCACCCACAATGTCCACCACTACCGCGGCCCCTCTCGCCCGCGCCATCCGTTCATCCAAACCCCTCCCCTCCAGCCTCCACCAAATCAGCAAAAACGCACCCAAAGCCATCTCCCAAACCTCTCCATCCACCACTCCCTCTTCATCCCCAACCAAAGTCTTCCACCAAAAGCCCTGGCAGAAATCCGCTCCTCCTACACCAACATCCTATTTCCGCATCACCCTCACCCGATCTGCTATTGGTCTCCCGAAGAAATCCTCGCGTGTGTTGAAGTTCTTGGGATTGCATAAAAGAACGAGTAGTGTGTATCATCCTGTTTCTTCCGATATTGCAGGACAGATTATGAAGGTTAAGGAATTGGTTGAGGTAGAGGAGACTAAGGAGAAGAGGAGTAAGAGGCAAGAGAGGGAGAGCAGGAGGCCGGAGAGTGGGTTTATTGTTGAGAAGGAGTTGGAGACGAGTGTGGTTTGAGGGGTTGAGGAAGAGAGAGATGGAGTGCACGGGACTAGGAGTAGAGATAGCATGGAAGAGAATACAAAGGAAGATTGGAATGGAGAGCTAATTGGAGACACTGGGAATTGAGCAGGCGATACCATACATAAACCTGTATATTCGATTTGGGATGGGACATAGTTGGTCTGCATCATATTTGCGATTGAGATTGGGATCATCTCAAAGCGTATGAGGAATCAGGAAGACTTTCAATGCAGAATAAATACGCATTACTCGCGATGACAAGCAGTCAAACTCAGCCCCATCCACCGTCTTCCTTCCACGATAGACAACTGTATCAATCGTCCTCCTCCCTCCACCTTCTCCCTCCCTTTGGCTCACCTCACATTACCTGCAAAGCATCACTCTCACACACCTCGCTCAAACCGCTCTCACATAACTGGAGTTCTGGGCCTTTCTGTACACAATACACACACATGTACCATAAAGCATAGTTAGCTATTTGCCAAACAAAAAGCACTTAAGGGTGGCGAGGATGTGAAATCGCACTTACAATATGGGAACATCAATTTCAACATCAATACGCTACAAATTGCAGATGAATTTCTCACACGTACCGTGGCATTGTGGACCTCTTTTGTCTTCATCTTGAGCAAATCCGACATGCATATCACTGAGAGGATTCACATGCACTGATTGATGTCCACATGTGAATCACAAGTTCGAACACAACTAAACAAGGCTGAGATGAGAAGTCATGTAATCTGTAATCGTAATGCTTAACTACCAGCTCAAGAACAAAGTAGAGGGTTCTTGAACTCAACATAATCGAATATCTGCCATGCCAACAATACCACCCATTAGAATCTACTATGATCCATCCATCAATCCATTCAAATCAGATTCTTTCACATGTATGCTCTCTTAATCTGTCTAACTGTCCTGCCACGCCAGATGCTGGTTCGTCAAAATCTTCCCTTCCCATCGCTATCGCAGAAACAAACAGCAGTGATAGCAGAAATCTGCCAAACAATTTTCCTTTCCTTCCCTAAATTCGACTTTCGATTGAATCTTCCCTTTCACCCACTGTGATACAAGATTCATTTCTTCCCCTAGAAACAAAAGCCAGAAAGAAAGCAAGCGCCATTCTCCATTCCATGCTATTATACATCTTCATCTTCACCTATCAATTCACTTTTGCATGTCTGCATCTTTAAATCTCCAATGCAAGACATAACTCTCTAATTTGGGTTTCGAGCCTTGTCAACATATTCTGCGCCAGGTGTCTCGTATTCAGTGACAAAGTAATCTTTAGCATTCTTGCCGATCCAGTTGGTCAACTTGCTAAGTTCCTCTCGGAGACGATTAACAGATTGTAAATCCATATTGGTTTGAGCAATGAGTTCAGGCAGAGTGACTATATATTATCAGTGATGTGTTTCTAAGGAATGGGATGACAGTCTTACCCAAAAGACGGCACAAGTGCTCAGCACCATAGGTGTCACATGCAGAGCTCTGTGGATATGAATCATCATCCCATAATTCACGGAAATCCATGTGCTGTTGACGTTCAAATCTGTAGGTAATCGGTTAGAGACAAGTAGAGAGAGGTATTATCAGAGTGAACACACCTGTACAGAAGAATGCGAGGAAGGCATCTCTCGAAATACTCCTTCAAACCAGCGACAATCTCTTCCAGGATATCCGCCTGGGCACTTCCAACGGGTCTCTTTGGTTTTTCAAATTCAAGCCAATCATTTAAGATTTGATCGACAGATTTATGGTGGGGTAATGGTACAAGTTGTTGATTCTTAGTGACATTCTCCCAGTCATCAACAAGAATTGCTTTGATATGATCGGGGATGACAAGGTTGATGGATGGTCGATTATGAAAGTTTTCTTCCTGTAAATAGTTAAAATCACGTCTTTCCATGACAATGTTTGAATTCAAAATGCGTGGTAACATCTTCTTGGTGGTTTTGATAAGACGTTCTCCCCTGACTTCAGAGGTACTCTTCGTTTCCTTTTCAAATTTCACTTTCTTCTCAATCTCGGTGCTAGCAACTGTGCCATTATTTTTTGGGGAAGCCTTTTGAGCGGTCTTTGAGACAGCCTTTCCTGCAGTCTTCTTCAGGGCAGATTTATTCGACCCATTGTTAAGAATGAGCCTAGGCTTCTTTGTGGGAGGCTTCATGATCTCTTCTATGCGCTCTTCACTATATGATAAAGGGAAAAGTCTCTTTCGCTTTAGTTGTGGGGGAGGTAATTGATTATCGTCAAACAATCGACCAGCGATAGGATTGATTTGTCCAGGCTCGTAATCTGCATACCACTGGCGCAAAGGTTTGGTGTCGGTACCCTTTTTGATGTGGGCTTGAAGTTTAGGATGAACTGGAGCCGCTTTCTCTTTCGGTTTGTAGACGTAGTTAGATTTATCTGGTCGATATGTTTCAGGATCTCTAATGGAGTTGTTGAAAATGAATTGAAAATCCTTGGGTGGTCTTGCATCCAGATTTGTTTTTGGGACCATGGAGTCGTTCTTGAGAAATTTATCGACATTCCAATGCTCACTCTTAGGATTGGCCCAATCTGGGTTCTTTCCATTCATTATTGGCTTTGGCTTGATAACCGTTAAGTTGCCAGAGTCAACGATTGAGCGATCATATGGTTGTGCTGGACATTTCTCTCTCGCACTTCTCCGTACATTAACTGGTGGTGCAGCCAAATTATTGACTGCCTTTACAACGGCCTTTGCGACCGCCTTGACCTTGGTCTTTGCCTTGGTCTTCTCTTTTACCTAAGTGGTTATGAGTGATTGAATAATTGAATAATTGACGGAGTGGAGGGCGACTTACATTGATCACTTGCGGTTTCTGGATCTTATTTTGTGAAGTTGAAATGCCGATTTTCTTTGCAAGACGTTTCGCACGAGCTTTAACAACTGGTATAATAGGAGGACCCATCTTTAAAGAGTTCTCAAGAGAAGGTTGGAAGTGATAACTGAAGGATGATCTTGATGATTTTGCTGTCGTAATTGATTGAAATTTGAGAAATTGAATATTTTGGAAGTGTGATTCAAAAGGCGCAGTAACAGAATGTTGTCAAATATTGGTAGCGATCGAAAGCAAAAGAAAAGCTTTGAATGCCCAGCAATCTGATAATTTTCTTATTGCGTTGTATTGAGTTCCTGAAATGATTGTATTGATGGGGAATCAATTTATATTGTTGTTTGGCGACAACTTTAACAATAAGAAGAAGAGAGAGGATGTTTCGATTTTCCAAATTTGGCAAGCGAGAACCCAAAATTTGAGAGAAGGTCAAACTAGCCATTCTGGAAACACTTTTCGTATCTCTTATACCACCTCTTGTGGTAAATTGATGTAGTAATTATTGAACCCTCCAAAACCACCGTGAAAATGAGGAAAAATGAATCAAAATGATATGGGGGAATTGGGGATTTCAGGATTTCAGAATCATAATGTCAGAGTGTAAAAAGTTGAAGGAATCAATCGAAATAAATAAAACTTACTTGTTCCAAATCATAATCACGATTTCTTCTTGGACCACCTCTTCCACCTCCTTGAGCTGCTACACTGGCATGTCTTTCTTCACTACCACGACCTGAACCAAAATCCGATCCATTTGCTCGTCCACCAATTTTCTTACCACCTGCTGAAGTTGCGGACTTGGGCTTCTGGCTCATCTTCTTCATCTCTTGATGAAGTTGAGCGGCAAGTTCTTTATTATCGTCATTAAACTTCATTACTCGATCTTGAGGTACCCAATCATCCCAACTGTTTTGGTTCTCATGGTTAGATTCTGCTTGATGTCTTGGTTTGGGCGAATTGCCATCCGATTCTTTCAAAGTACGAATACGAGGTCGAAGGGATCGTGATGGCTTTGGAGGGGAAGTTTGGGACATGTTGATACAGATAATGAAAGTTGGGGGAAAGGGGGGGAAATTGAGATCGAGTTGAATTCGAAAATGATTTTAGTGGTTCGAACTGTACAATATGATATGATATGATACGATACCATAGGGTACGATACATAAAATACCATACGGTCTCAATAAAGTATATCGTTATCAATGTCGGTAATGAAAGTTTCGAAGGTTGTATATGTTCCAAGTTCCAAGGCTTCTTCACTGGGATTACAAGGAAGGTAGGAGGCGGTATACTCAACTGTTCAACCATCTCGCTACATATCATCCAGCTTTGGAAAGTAGCTCAAAGACGAGGAGAAGTGCGTTCTTTCTCTTTCTTCTCTCCATTCGTCTTTTTTCATCAAGATAATGAAACAGATGACCCAGGAGATTCGAAAGATTCTCACGAATCCAGAATTAAATTTCACTTACGTTGCTTTCCATCTATTCAGAAAAAATCATGTTAACACGTTATCTCCTTACAAAAAACTAATAGTATATATGCACATATGTACATATACACCCAGGTAGATATCAAGATTTAGAGAGAATTTCTTACCCCTTATAATGAATCTTGCATTGCCAGCTAGAGCCATCTTCTGTTGGTCTCGTGTCTAAAACCTTGGCTTCATACAACAAATCATGATGAAAGCAAAGAACTTTTTCATCTTTCGCATAGGGAGCGACAGGTGGTCCGGATTTTGATGGTGCCATGATTTCCGGTCCGATCTAATAAGGGATTTTGATGAATGTAAAAAGTATTAGATAAGTAAGGTATTTGGGTTGTAATGCTAATGAGGTATAAGATTTGACAGCAAAGCGATATCGGGATACTACCAAAGTTTGGAAGGGGAGTCGTTGGAGATTAGAAGATTGTCGTGTGCAAATGATGATTATGTTGTTGAAGAAAGGGAGTTGGATAAGATTAGAAAATCCGTTTCCATTTCTGTCTGCATCTTGAGACAACCGAGAAGTAGCAAAGCAAGCGCGTCTTTGACAAAAAAGTACGTGTCACGCGTGTTTCTTAATTAATGTACCCCAGGTTTATGTGATGTGTTAAGGTTCAATAATTCATCCATGGTTCTAGGTGACATCCTCCAAAAGAGTTTAATTTTCTGAGGATTTGAGTCCTTGAGTATAACCTCATTTTCGTCTGTTTGCTTTCCCAATTCCGAGCTTTCTGGCCATTTTCATTTCAACAATACATCAATGCTTCTTACCCCTTGAACCACAGTACTAGAAACAAAACTCTTCAAACTCTCCTCAATTTCCCAAGCACTACAATGCCACCCACCGAACAAAAAATTCTCACCACCTTCCTCCTCCCTCCATCCTCTCTGCCCCAAATCATCTCCCTCGCCTCCTTCACTCTCCTCTTCCCGCGCGCTGTCCAATCATCCCCTGCTATCCGAACTCTCTACCGGGACCTCCAGCATCAGCGCGCACAAACAATCGACAATGTTACCACAGTAATCGAGCAAGAAGTACGAAGAGGAAGCGCGATGGAGAGAGCTGTTGTGAGGAGGCGGAGAGGAGATGAGAGAGTTATAGAGGATGATGAGGTGGGGGTTGAACGAGCTGTTAGTTATCTCCTTTCCCTTTTCTCTTTTCTTTGACAATTACCATCCCCTCTACCTGTCCATCTGCCTCCCATTCAAACACAATTAACACAGCTGACAAATTCCAGCTTTCCAACTCAGCTCAAATATCCAACCTCCCATCTTCCCATCCCCACTCCCTCCATTCCATCCTCCCTCCCCTCGAAGCAGCAATCGAAGACCTCGAAGACGAAATCGCGCGACTAGATGCGGAGAGCGAAGAATTACTAAACGAGATGAAGAATACAGTTGGTGGACTGAGTGATCTTCGGTATGGACGGCTTGCGAATCCGGGGATAAGGGGACAAGTGTTGGAAGGTTTGGAGAGAGTCGAAGGGGCTGCTGCGATAGTAGGTGGAAAGTGATTGGCATAAGTGGAACACGGATAGATGTTACCACTGGAATGTTCTGGGGGGGAAAAGACGATACGGCCATTGAGGGAATTGAGGGCGATGAGGGTTCGCAGTGTTTTAGGGTACGACCAGCGACGACGCGCAAGGTTGGCGCATTGCGCATTGAGGATTCGGTATCAAACAGCCAAGTGCGCTCACACAGGCGCAAAGACCGCAGTGATGCATCACTACCAAGAGTGAAGATGCACTTTGGAGGTTTCGGTATATATTCCCCTTCCCAATAGTCTGCCTCCACGGCAGTGGCTCCCAGAGGGCCAGCGGAGCGTCATTCACAGGCACAGTAGACAAGGCAAGGAATTAGCAAGGCGTAAGGTTTGAAAATTATGATACCCATTTCTCCATTCATTAAAATTTGTTTAGATAAGCTACGTAAATTGCATTCCGGCCACCCGTCGCTTTGAAAACATGCATATCATGTGAGAATTAAATCCTCCACTGCAGTCTTCCCCAAATTTATAATCATGACAGACATTTCTTAGTAGGTAACTCCATCTCCAGCTGGAGCAGCGCGTGGGCGAGCTCCAGCGGCTGCTGCAGGTCCTTGTGGACCGAGAGTTCGCTTGCTCCTAGAAATGCCATTAGTGGAATGCTTAGAATCCGAAAGTGAGAGGAAACTTACATGATGGTTCTGCTCAAGAATGAAATACCAATCATGAACATCCAGCTGGGAACAACTGCGAAGAACCAAAGTACGTATCCAACTGGAACTGCGGCACCGTATTGCGCAAGTTCACCATCGAAAGGGTGGAACCAACCCTCATAAGGTGCCTTTTTCTTGTACGATTTAGTTGAGTGCAAATCGGTGAATGTAGTGACGGTTGTTGAAGTAGTGTTCAATGGAATCGTGATAATAGGAACTGGGGATCCTGGAGCGCCAACTTCCATGGTCCACAAATGTGGTGGTCCTGCGCCCCACGAATTGCAAAGAACGGGTTGTTCGTCGCAATTCAACATTGCCATGTGAGGAGTTGTGGGGTCGACAGCGAAAAGGGCAGCGGATTCATTGAAGCCCTTTTCGATTTTGCCGCAGAGACCAAAACAGGTTTTGTTTCCGCCAGTAGCTAGAACCCACCATTCTTGCGGGAGCGACGACTCGGGAGTGATGCTTCCGCGGATAGTTTCTTGCCAGGTATCGAGGGCAAGATGGTGGATTTTTGCTTCGCCTACTTTGGCAGTTGCGGCTTCGAGGGGAGATTCGGAGGCCGGAGAGGGGATATAGGATTGAAGTTTGCCGAACCAGTATTGAGCTTGAGCTTTGGCTTGGTCGAGAGGAGATTCTTGGGCTGCGACCAGGAGGGGGAGGGCAAGGACGGAAACGGTGGGAATGCGCATTTTGGCAATCTGTTATGGAATGGATGATTGAGGGGTGAAAGCTGTCAGAATTGAGGGGGATCGAGAGACTATATAAGCAGGTTTCTGATTAGGAAGCTTTCTGCGATTAGGTTGGAGATCTGCGCTGATTGGCAATAGCTGATTGAATGCGCCGCGATAACACTTTTCGCGAATGAGCTGATCAAATTAAAGATTGAATTTGAGGAAAGGAGGGAGAGAGATATATGATGATATCAAATGGTGAATTTACAAAGATTATAAATAAATATAACAGAATTTATATATCGCTTATAATGAAGCTCTCCAACTTGCGTGATGATGAGGCCAGATGGTTTTTAATGGAAATAAAAGAAGCTCCACAGCATCTTTTCGAGGGGGGATGGGACGGATGTGATGGGAGAAAGAACCAATCAACAATTCGAGTGACCCCAGCTTTGCTTACTTTGCTTACCGCTAGTCTCTTTTAGTACTAGTGCTTCTCAGAGTGGATGTCATCTCTATCTCTATCGCTATTCGCTAGCTACGGTAAGCCTTACACTTTTGGTCTGATCGCTATCGATTATCAGAAACTTTTTTTTTATCAGAAGCATTTTTTGATTTTTTATTGCGGCAGTGAAGGCGCAAAGAGTAATTAAGAAAGGTCTTTCACAATGTCTTTACAGGAAAAGCTCGACAAGATACGCTCGCCGAAGCTTCAGAATCAAAAACAGGTATGTTTAAAGAATTGCAATTCTGGAAATGTCTCTGGTGCTGTTGTGCACTTTACTAACTGATATCAACGTCTAGACTGCAATTGTATTGTCTGCGGTTGAAGATACACTTAAAGATCAAAAAACAGAAGCCACTCCAACTGGATATTTCGCCGCATTATTGGCACTCTTAAGACAGGCTTGTCCTCAAGATGGAGAAGTTAACAAAGATTTAACAACTTCTGTTGTATATTTACTCGATATCATTACACCTTTTGCCCCGCAACCACTCCTCCGATCAAAATTTACTCAAATTCTCACAAATCTCGGTCCCGCCCTTATATTACCAGAAGCAGATGCCCCTCTCCTCAGACCTTCGATAGGATGTCTCGAATCATTATTACTCGCACAAGATTCCACGGCATGGGAATTGGAAGTCATGGCAATTGGGCCCAGAAGAGCCATTGCTGGATTATTAAATTTCGCCGTGGATCACAGACCTAAGATCCGAAAGCGTGCGCAAGAAGCACTTGCAAATATTCTGAAGAATCCTCCGCCAAGTCCTTCTCTCGATCATCCTGCAGCGGATATGTGTGCGGAAACTGCTTTGAGAAGTTTGAGCGATTTGGCGGCCCAATCGCATCAAGCCAGGAAACAGAGAAAGACCAGCGCAACTGCGGAACATGAACCAGCTTTGATCCACGCATTACAATTAGTTAAGACTGTTGCAGGAGCATCTGGAGGATGGCCAAGTAAGAAGATTGAGGCATTGTGCGAGGTCTTGTTGAATATTTCGAAATCGAGCAATGAATATTTGGCGATGACTTCGTTCGAAGTATTCGAGATGATATTTGAGGGTATGGCAAACGAAACCGCGACCTCGAAGTTACCTCGACTTTTAGAAGTGATCTCTGAATTGAGACCTTCTCAAAACGATTCTCAACTCTTACCTCCTTGGATTGCTGTATTATCGCGGGGTTATGATGTTTCCGCTCAATTGGAGCCAGAGGAGACTTTTGCACAATTACCTGAACTTTTCACAATGATCTCTGGATTCATGTCATCTTCATCGCACAGCATTCGAGTATCTGCTTCTGAATGTTTGATTTCATTAATGGCAAATTGCGTCCCAGACTCAGTTATTGCAGAGCCTTCGATTTTTGATGAGAAAGTCCTCGAGAAGTTGGCAAAGTGTGCAATTGATCTCTTGAGTGTTAAGTATCAAGCGGCTTGGATGGAAACTTTCAATGTCATGGGTTCCATGTTTGACGCTTTAAGATGGAGAGCAGACCCAATTTTATCCGAAGTCGTTCGCGCAATTGGCGAGCTCAGAGGTAGCGAGTCTTTCGCTGGCAAAAAGGAAGCGGATGAAATCCTTGGAAAAGCTATCAGAGCTATGGGGCCAGAGAGAGTTCTTAGCATTTTACCTCTCAATCTCATCAAACCAAAAGCTGGACAACCTGGACGCGCCTGGATGTTACCTATTCTACGAGACTATGTCAGTAACACGAATCTTCAACATTTCCGAACCGAACTCGAGCCATTGAGCCAAGCAATGCTACAAAGAGTCAGCGATCACGGAGCTGCTGAAAAGACAATGGATATCAAGATCTTCGAAACTATTGTCAAACAGATCTGGGCCATTCTTCCTGGTTATTGCGATTTGCCATTGGATCTTACTGAAGCTTTTGATATCAAATTTGCGGAAATACTCGTTAACATTTTATACGGACAAGTTGATCTACGTTCAGATATTTGCAGAGCTCTCCAAACTTTGATTGAGTCTAACCAAGCAATTATTGCCATTGAAGGAGAAGAAGACTTGCTCCTGCAGAGCCGTGTTTCAAAGGCCGTTGCGCAAAAGAACATTGAGCACTTAGCTACTTTCGCCAGCAATATGCTTTCTGTTTTGTTCAACGTCTACAATGAAACATTACCACAATACAGAGGTTTCATTTTGCAATGTATCAACGCATTCCTTAGCATCACCCCTACTCAAGAACTTATGGAGACATTCGAACGGGTTAGTCAGGCATTAGGGACATCGCTCGCTGAAGCTGGTGCTCAGACTCAAGCAGAGAAGCAAAAGCAAAGACAACAAAATGCGGCTAACAAGATGCCACCCACGAGTCACAGTCTCATGGATTTGGTAATCACAATCTCCATCTACTTACCAAGAGATAGTTTCAGCACTCTTTTCAATATGGCAGCTCTTATTATTATCAAGGATGATGATCCTCAACTTCAGAAGAAGGCTTATAAGCTCATTCCTCGTCTTGCTGAGTCGGAAACTGGAAAGGCCGCATTACAAGAGCGTAGCACTGATCTTCAGGAGCTCCTTTTGAACAGTTCCGAGAAGGTATCCACACCAGCAAAGCGTGATCGCCTTGCTGCTATCTCCGTTCTTATTCCTTTCCTCCCAGCCGACTCTCTTCACTTCATCCCAGCTATCCTATCCGAGGTCGTCATCTCATGTAAGGAGACAAATGAGCGTGCTCGAACTACAGCTTTTGATCTCCTCATTCTGATGGGAGAGAAAATTGCTTCATCTTCTGGCGCCATTATCGACAATAGCAAGGTATCTCACATGCCCGACGATGCACCATCTGTAACGGCAACCATCGAGGAATACTTTACCATGGTCAGTGCCGGTCTTGCCGGTAGCACACCTCACATGGTATCTGCGTCTATCACTGCTCTCACCCGTATCCTGTACAACTTCCGTGAATCTCTATCCCCTGAAACTGTTAGCGATCTCGTCCAAACTATGGACCTTTTCCTCACATCCAACAATCGTGAAATCGTCCGCAGTGTCCTTGGCTTTGTCAAAGTCTGTGTCATTTCTCTGCCTTCTTCTCTTGTGCTTCCACGTCTTGAAAGTCTCATTCCTAATCTCATGGTCTGGAGTCATGAGCATAAAGCTCATTTCAAGGCAAAGGTTAAGCACATTCTCGAACGTATGATTCGTCGCTTTGGTGTTGAGATTGTCAACAAGTATTGTCCAGAAGAAGACAAAAAGCTCATTACCAATATCCGCAAGACTCGCGAGAGAAGAAAGAGAAACAAGGATGCTGCCAAGGAAGCAGGCGAAGACAGTGACGAGGAGGGAACTGGTGGAAAGAGAAGAAACAGATTCGAGAACGAATATGATGAGGCTCTTCACGGAAGCGATTCCGAATCTTCTGGTTCTGATGTTTCAGATGATGAAGTCCTCGGCAAATCAAGAAAGAAGGGCGGCAAGAAGGCTGCTGGCGGGAACCAATATATCGTGGAAGATGATGATGAGCCACTTGATTTGCTTGACCGCAAAGCACTTGGTAGTATCTCAACCACCAAACCTGTAAAAGCGCGAACAATTACGAGAACAAAGGCAAAGGTGGACTTGGATGGAAAGTTGTTGCTTGGAGGTAATGATAGTGATGATGATGATCAAATGGTTATCGATACTCCGGCAGAGGAAGATGGTGGTGTGGGCGCTTATGTTCATGCATTGAAGGGTAGAGATGCGCCGAAGAAGGGTAGAGGTGGAAGACTTAAGTTCAGTAACAGGAAGGGACAGGATGAGGATGATGAAATGGACGTTGATGAGGATGAGGTGAAGGCTGTCAAGAAGAGCATTGGTGGGGATAGGGAGAGGGGAAGGGGTGGAAGAGGAGGTGATAGAGGACGAGGCGGAAGGGGTGGTGGCAGAGGAGGCTTTAATGCTGGAAGGAGAGGTTTGGGTGAGGAGAAGAGATCAGGTGGGGGTGGTGGAGATCGTAGTGGAAGGGTTATGAAGAGTCCTAGGGGTAGAGGAAGAGGGAATAGTCATCCAAGGAGATAAACGGATCTTGAGTAGCATGATCAAGATGGGGAGATGAGGAAGAGTAATGACTTATAAAATAGCATTTGTTTGGAGTTATGGATATGGGATGAATCAAAATGGTCTTTATATACTCATGTGTTCAGTCAAAAAGTACGCCTGCTTGCTCAAGTGTTATTTGATATGTTATCATGGAAAAATCTACATTCGATACATTCAATGTGAAAGAAAACCCAAAATCAAGCGGAATAAAACAGATAGTGAATAGTGAATCAACCCACCCCATGCTACCCCTATACAAACCTCTTGACCCGACTCAATTGTGGGAATGAATACTCAATCACATTCACTTCCTCTCACACTCGACGGCGCGTCCAACAAGGTCAAAAATCCTCAAATCAAGCCGAGGCTACATAAATTATCAGTGCGCTTTTATGTACGCGATTTCGTGTCTCGACGCGATTTTGCCTGTGTTCAATCAGAAACGCCCCGAAGGATTGACAACGCAATTCTCGGTCAATATCCCCTGGACAATTTTTTTCGAGATCGCGCAATCTTCCTCTTTCGATATCTGGTCTAAATATTGTAGATCTACAAAAAGCCCCATGTCTGGTTGTGTAACCAGACGTGCAACAAAAGGTTTTTGAGAGTGCGAGGAAGCGAGGTGATTGGTTCGCAGAGTTGCATGGGTTGAGGGGAGTGGAATGTTAAAGGGCGGAGAACACCACGATCACAGCACAACAATAACACGATACGATTACGATACCAACATGGCAGAAGAAGGAAAGCGTAGGAGAGCAAGACCGTCAAATTGGTGGGAGGTGCAAGATAATGAAAATGAAAATGGGAATGGGGAGGTGGGAGTGAGAAGTCAAGCGACGGCAGACGCGCAAAGTCAAAGCCCAAATATAAATACAGTGGGTGGAGAAATTGCAAAGAAGAAGGCAAGACCTTGGGTTCCGGCGGGAATGGGTGTGCCTAGTGAGAAGAAGAGAGGAAGATCTTCTTTGGGCACGGGTTCTGGGATCGCGAAACAAACCTGGGAGAACGATGGCAATATTGAGGACGAGGCTGAAGATGACAATTCAAGAACGAGAAGAATAAGAAAAAACACAAACAACACAGGAGGAATATTGAGTGGGCATAGCAATACGGATGTTGTTGAAACGGTAACTGCGGTCAGTTCCCTGGCGCCGCAGAAGAAGAGGGGTAAACCTGCTGTGGGAGTCGTTGATCGTGCAGAAAGTAACGGACCATCAAACAACGCGGCGACGGGAAGCCGAACAAAGGGTGAATCGAAGGCTTCGCATACGGGTGTAGAGGAAAAAAAGCGCGGAAGACCTGCGAATGGAAATATGGGTACTATAAACAATCGAGAGAAAAAGAGCAATGGGGGTCATATTGAGCCCGAAAAGAGCAAGTCGTCGCGATCACAAAAGCGCCATCAGGCAGCGCCAGAATCACCAGCACCAGCTCGTACAATGAAGAAGGCTTCCAAGAATGTCGAGGAAGCATCCGAGAAGCAATCGAAGCCATCGAAGTCGAAGAAGCATGTTAGAATATCAGATGTATCACAAACCAATGAACCGGGGGCCGGAAGGCCAAAATCCAAGAAAGCTGGACCTCCAGATAGTTCCGAGCTCACAAGAAAGCGGAAGGATCCGAATACTGATGAACAGCAACCACAACAACTAACTAAACGTCGCCGTGTGGAAGATTCACAAGATAATCGGGCCGAGCAAGAACAGCCAGAGCCGCCTTCGTATCAACATCTAGCAGCTGTTACTCGGCGTGTGACACACGAAACTATCAAGACGAAGTGGGAACCTCTACCACCGGGATGCTTGGATAAGATTTCTGATTTATTGATCGATGTACAAAGACCAGTTGTCTTACAGATTCGCGATGAACGTAAGAAGACACAAGCCAGTACAGCGATACAAATGATAAGCCGCCGACTTTTGAATAGAATTCGAAAGGGTATGCCATTTCCTAAGGGGATAAGAACAAATCCAGAGGATGATTTTGATTTTGAGAGGATACTGGATTACAATCGAGCTTTAGAGAATAAACTCACACCGGTTTTGCATTCAAATGACCTTTTGGAGGCCGAATTGAGGAAAGAGGAGATATTGCTTGAGAGTGAGGAGAGATATCTCGCGGAACTGGAGGCAAATGCAAAGGATGAAGCGACAAGTAGAAGACAAGCCGCTCGAAAAGCTCATCCACTGCTTCAATTCGAGGTTGATAGCACTCGAAAGGTACTCAATGATAATATCGGTATAGATGAGAACGCAGCTACTTCCTCAATAACTCTCAACGTAAGTTTCTATTGTTTCTGAACCTCATATACAACTAATATCTTTTCCAGGCCTCGAAATATCACGATCTTGAAGGCATTGTTAAGAGTATAGATGGTCACGTGGACAGTATTAAGGGCAATCTACAACAGATTGAAGGTATCACCGATGCTATGGCTAAAAGTAAAGCTTCTGTACAAGCTGCTCTATTCAGTCATCTCGATCTCGATCAGTACAATGACGTTGTTTTGGGTTAAAGACATAAAAACGGTTATTGGTGCAAGACACAACGGTTTCGGTGGAAGGAAAGTGGGATTACATGTTTAAGTTTGGGAGGAACATTCCACAGGAATATTTTTGTGTTGTGTGGCTATTGATTTTATAGTTATTGTATTAGATACCCAAAATTCGCTCCTTCATCGTTGATATGTATGTAGTTATAATGATCTACAATTCATTTGTTCTTTGTACCAAAGTATCTTTTAGACCTAGACCACCCTTGATCAACCTCGCTTCACGATGAAATTTGCAGTATGCCGTCGCCCCGCGTTCTACACGACAATTCAATAATCCCATTAACCCAAATCTTGCAACACAAATTAACTCAACAATTTAAATAAGTAATTTATTACTATAATAATCAATTAATACAAGGTAAATTTTCATTCTCGTGTGATGGGTAGTGAATTGAGCTGACAAGCTGAAAGGATCCTCCTAATTCATAAATTTACCAACTGTCAAAAGCTTCGTTCACCCCTTCAATAACGACCAGCGCAACGTCGCAATCCAATGGAACCCTATGAAACTTAGGCTCTGATGCCATGGAACAAAATGGAGCCAACAATGGGCAGGATGCAAAGCCACCGGCATCATCTGCAGCTGCTGGCGCAAACAAGAGCCCGAAGAAGAGGCGTAAAGTAAATCATGGTATGCAGAAGTTTTCCAAGGGAACCAACGACTTCCAAATTTGAATTACATGATCTGAAACATTGGCTAATTGTGGAACGTCTTTTGCAGCTTGTGTATACTGTCGGCGATCTGTGAGTACTCGATTGGGCTATACTACAAGGGGGGGGTTGGACGGGTGTTTGCATACCGTTATGCGTGACATTGAAATGCCAGTGGCCAACAGCTAATTCGGTATTGTCCCTGAGCAGCACATGACATGCGATTTAGTGCGACCTTGCGCGAGGTGTACAAAGCGTGGAATTGGGCATCTCTGTCATGATGAGCCCCGCGAACCGGAGTCGACCACGAAGAAAGCAGCGGCGAAGAGTCAGCAGCATCACCATAACAACAACGCTACAGCAGGAACAGCGGAGGAGCTGGGAGGGACACCGCCAGGTCTTAAGCTCGAAAATTCTCTTGACAATAGTCTAAATAACTCGTTCGTCACAGCGGAACAACAACAAGGTCAAGATCAAGTTCAGGAAAACAAATTGAGTCTTGGAGCACCAGCAATATCCCGCGGTGTCCCTCTTCAGCTGGTCCAGCCTACACCGGTTTCTGGAATACAAGCGAATGCTCTCAATAGTAGCAGCAACAATCAATGTATGATGCTTTATATTCTCCTAGATTTTCTTCTTATGTCTCCGAGATTACTCTGAAATATTGGGCACGTATTAATCCTTTTTCGTTATAGTTCTTGGGTATCCGAATGACTGGCTTGGGTCGCAAAACCAATTTCAAGATATGCATAACTACCATCCATCGTACATGTTCAACGCACCGGAAGTCACCAACGAGTACAATCTTCTGAACGATTTCCTCAATAACAGTCTTCTAGACGACGGAGCTCTAGGTACAGAAGACACATCAAATTTTTATCCTGATCAAGCTGGTTCAATGTTATCAGGAGGCAATTCCAACACGCTCACATCAGGAGCGCAACAAGCTTCAGGTAGTGGTCCATCAACAGGACTGAATCCACCAGGAAATTCGATTTCTAGACCAGCAAGCGTCATACCAATTGATAAAGCCCGCGAGTACTACCTTCAAGCGGCCGATCCCACTGGTAATGATGTCCCCGAAGTTAGAATGCAACTATTGTTAAGGGCAAAGTACGACGCCGGAATGCTGAAGCCTTTCAATTATGTTAAGGGGTATGCGAGGCTTTCGGCGTATATGGATGGACATATGCAACCGGCTTCAAAGCAAAAAATACTCCGGCAATTGGATCGTTTCCGACCGAAATTTAGGGAAAAGGTGCAAGCATTGACAGATATTGAACTCATCTACGTGGAAATGTGGTTTGAAAGGAGTTTGATGGAGTATGATCGAGTTTTTGCAAGTATGGCCATTCCAGCTTGTTGTTGGAGGAGAACCGGAGAGATTTTCAGGGGAAATAAGGAAATGGCTGAGTTAATACATGTTCCTATTGAGAAATTACGGGATGTAAGTTACTTTGAAGATTTTCATTCTCGTTCACACTCGCACTCAAACGTTCTTGGCAAAGACAGATATGGAAGATGCTGCAACTGTGGCTGATACTATCTTCCGAATTCTATTTATTGTTCAAACGGCTGACATTTTTCTGTGAATAGGGAAAAATAGCGCTCCACGAAATCTTGACGGAGGAATCGCTAGTTAATTATTGGGAGAAATTCGGAGCTATAGCTTTTGATCTGAATCAGAAAGCACTTTTGACGAGTTGTTCGTTGAAGAATCCGGATGATAAGAGCAAAGACCCGACCATTAAATGTTGTTTTTCGTTTAATGTGAGAAGGGATGATCATAAGATGTGAGTTTGATTCTTTTTCTTCTTTAGGGGGCCCCTTGATGTGGAGGGCTGAGGGGATTGAAGACGGGATTGTCAGCAAAAATGAAACGTGGTTGAGATGGACAGCATTCCCAAGACCAAAAACTAACAATAAATCCAAATAGCCCATCTCTAATTGTTGGAAACTTCTTACCTCAAGATCCTGTCAGGCGGTGATATATCTAAGTTATGGTATGGCAACATGAATGAAAGACGGAGAGTAAAGAAGTAGAAATGAAGAAATTCCAACCGTTTTTGGTATTTATTAGATGAGTACGTACATAAGATGCATAACGTAGAGATTGGAATTGGAAATGCTATTTTGGAGAACGGGATTGGATTGGAACTGGAGATTCTTTTTCGGGCAAAATGGGAAGGAAGTGAAGGGAAAGGGGGGTGGGGATAGCAACGTAGAGGTTTTGTGGATTGATGGTTGATGGTTGGATCAAATGGACTTGATAAGCGGGCGGCGGGGGGAGTTCTGGAGGTGGGAATGTTCGGGTAAATACTAGGTGTGGTCAATTACTACTACCTACCTAGTATGAATGTAAATTCACAGAGCGGAGCAAAGCAAAGCATGAAAAAGCTTCACCTTTTAACATTTTATGAACAACTCCTTTTTTTGAAAACAAAATAATGTTTTTATGAGTGTCTCGAAATCGGAAAAGAATGCTGCCAAGTAGCAGTGCGGATGAATGATTGTACTGTTTCTCTCTCTGCTTTTAATGAGGGGAGGTGATTGGGGATATCCTTCTGCTCTATTTAACTCTTTAGGTCTCTAGATAAACAAGGTGCTGTGTAGACCTCTCCATCTGAGATTCCTCGAATAATATTCAAGATATTTGAGACATTAAGAGAAGAAAAGAGAAGACGAAAACGAATAATCAGGGATTAAGAAGGCGGTACGAGAAGGGAGTACGAGAAGATATGATGGGTATGGCGGGAGATAAGAGGACTGGGGCTGGGGCTGGTGTTGCACGGCAGGAGGGGGGTTCTGGGGAGAAAGGGAAAGGGGTGGGGAAGGGGGGTAGTGAGGTGGATGGAATGGGGATTGAGAAAGTGAGGGTGAAGGATAAGAGGTTGAGGGGGCTGTTTGGTGAGTTTTTTGTGCTTTTTTTATTCATTTCCTGTTTTGCTTTGTTTGCAGATGGGGTGGAACTTGAAGAGCTGGAGAGTTGAAAGGCTGAGGGGTGAGTATGAGGGTATGAAGATGTGGAAATGACCATCTTTTTCGAGCGCAGCGAGCTCTGGGGGCTTGCCCACATAGATAGGATTGATTTTTCTGATTTTGTTGAGACGACGCTGCAGAGGCTTCAGGATCGGTGGGTGAAGGAGATGGTGGCAGAGATTATGCTGTTCAATTGGTAGTAATGCAGATGACGCTCCACTGGCCCTCTGGGGGTCACTGCCGTGGAGACGTTTCTTTTTTTGAAAAGGCAATCCCTTGCTTTTCTTTAATCTCAATTCTAACAAAGTCTATTTTAACTCACAGTATTCGCACAAAAACTCGAAAACGATCTCAATTCCTTGGACACGAGCCTCGGTCGGGATGTATTCAACTTCACATTTACAACCATTGATGGAAATGGCACATTTAAAGAATTGGAGAATAATATTACTACATTTCCGACGAAGTTAAGTGCGAGTGCGAAGGACAAAGCACAGGAATTGGATGAGAAGGCAACGTGCATTTGGAATGTTGCGACGAGATTGAAGAGGAGTCTCCCTGCGGAGAGTGATGACGATGAGGATGGAGGATCGAAGACTTGGGATAAAAGGAATGAGCTCAGAGCTGTGCTGATTATGGTTAGAATGTTCGCTTTCCTGGTGTTGGATTGTGCGAATGAGTGTGGGAATTCTGTCGCTCATATACAAGCGGATACTGGTGGAGATGAAGAGAAAGAGAAAGGGGAGAAGTCCAGGGGAAACTTGTTGAGATTGATGAGAGTGGGAATCAAGACCGGGAAAGACTGCTTGGGTATGTATACCCGCCTTCATTTATCTACGGGGGAAAAAGCCGGACTCTGTGAGTTATCGCTAATACTTAGATGCGTAATAGATGGACAGAAGATCGATTATGCCGTCAAAGTCTTGGAGAAGCTTGCAGGATACACGGGATACAGTGAAGAACTTTTACGTACATACGAATCATCTGGTACATCAGAAGAAAGGGCTGCCTGCGCAAGATTTACTGCTGAGTCTTTTGTTCTTAGAACTTTATTGGTAAGATCATAAAACTTCTGCATATTATCTGCTAACACAATCGAAAGGCATGGCGACAGGATGATATGCAACTCGCTGAACATATGTTCAATAAATCTATGTCCTCCAAGGAGCTCTTTGATCATGCTACCACCGAAAGTCTCTCGGACACTTTATATGAGATGGGAAAGGCACTACTTGAGAAGCAACAGCATGCTTTGTCTGTCAAATGGCTGGAGCGTGCTTATAAAGTTCTGAGTGGTGACGAGTTGGACAAATTGAGCGCCGATGCTACAGAACTACGAGTATCCATTGTCCAAACACTCATCAAGGCACTCTTAGAGACTAAAACACCAGAATCGATACAACGGGCACGGGAGTTGATTGACCTTCTCGAGTGCGAACTTGGCGATAAATTGGTAGTTCTACTTTTGAAACTGGAACTTCTGACGGGGATTCCAAAAGAAACTTTTGATGGTTTGACATATAGTGCTATTCTCAATAAGATGATTCGAACTCTTGTTTTTAATCCGACGAATTTGCGATTGTTCATGTTTCATGTTAGGAAACTTCATGAAAAGGCGCCGAGTTTGGCATGTGGAGTTCTAGATGAGATGATTAGATTACGAGTCAAAGAGTTGGTGACTATGACAGAATGGTTAGAGAAAGCTCTTCTTACGAGGATCTGGATGTGTGTTAGTGGGAGAGAAACTGGAGAATTGTTTGTTGCTATTGATGGGTTTCTTACCATGATTGCGGGGAACATCGTGAAGTCGATCGGTGTCGAGGCTACCATGGCTGCTCATACGGTTTGTGACCTTGTGGTCATTGAACAGACAAGGGACTAATTTGATATAGTTAATCTGGAAGAAGATAGAAGCAAACTATGGTCTAAAACAGTATGAAGTAACTGAGAAATGGTGTCGTCTTGCAATTCATGGACTTTTTAAGATACCTGGAGAGGCCAATATGGCTAAGATATCTCGGTTTGTTTCCGTTGTCTGATGAGTGGTTGTGTCTAATATGCGAACAGGAAACTGCTTCTTTGTGCCCTTAATCGAGGAGATATCAATTCTGCTCGCGATATCTTTACATCTATGTCCGACTGCGCCAAAGAAGAGCCATTAACACGATTTCTCATGTACAAAATAGCAATCAGAAGTGAGAAGGTCGAATTGGCAGCAGAATGTCTTGAAAAGGTGGCTTCATGCGCCGAAGACCCCTCCCTGCTTTTCGCTTGTGTTCTTGATGCACAACAAGTTGGCAACAAAAAACATGTTTTAGATGCTCTTTGGATGGTACTAGACAAATGTGGATATTGTGCGCAAGAGAATGTGCGTCTTCCGTCGATTATCAGGATGATTATTGTTCTACTTATTGGTATGATTGACGCCGAGAATACATCAAGTAGTTACGCCAGAGAGAACATTGAGAAACTGTGTAAAATGTTCGAAAAAGGTAAGATATCCACGCAATATCCTTTCAAGAGCAAATAATAATCATTACATCACAGCACTCAGCGCCGTTCAAAAATCCCTCAATCGAGAAATATGGACAATCCTCGAACTCGAATGGCTTTCCCGAAATTCCTACAACCTATCCCTCAAACATCTTTCCGTTTGGGAACCCCAACAATCTCTTAGAATGCTCTCCTGCTGTATCGGTTTTATTGATTGCTACCCACGAGATATCGGTGAAGACGCACATGAGGACGTTACACTCCGAAAAATGTTCTGCAATTTCTGCGCCGCAACGATTTTCGTTTCCATCGCAAGAGCAGAACAGAATGTTGAACCACAATTACAGTTCTATCTTAACTTAAGGAAACATGTAGCGAGTTTTGATCATATATTACAGGAAAAGCTGGAGAAGTTGGAAGTGGAAATTACCGAAGATTTGTTGAAGAAACTGTCTGTTCTACTGGCGTTTGATTTTGAGGCCGCATGTAGATTGAAAGATTGGGGTGGACTTGGAGAGGTTATCACTAAAGCAGGAATTTGCAAGTGTATGAGGGCCTATGAGTTGATGGCGGATTGTATTTTGAGTTGTGAGGCTCCTACTCAAGGTTTGTTCTTCTCGCTTCTTCTTTTTGTCCCCTTTCTTCCCATCTCCCTTGCCGCCTTTTCTTTCACTATCTGCAACGTTTCTCTGAGAAAGACTCTTATACTACTAACACATCTTGCTTTCTAACCATAGTCTTAATTATGACTCTCAAAAAAATCACAAACAAGACGTGGGAAATGGAAGAATTTGATACCATAAAATTGTCAAAATACATGCGTTGTCTATTTCAGGCAGCTATGGGATCGGAAGATAAGATTGCAGAGGAACTCATTGATCAGGTTTGTATACTTGCTGCTGACGCTGCCGAGGTACGTCTTTGAATTACTCCCGCTTCCCTTCTTCTCCTTCTACATTCTGTGTCCTTTTCTCCTTTCCGTTCTCCTATGGTCATCTAACCCTCTCCTGTCTCTTGAACCCCCCGCCTTGGAACAAGAAACCCCAAGTTAACCTCCACCCCAAAACTCAGACGCAAATTCCCTACCCAACTCAAGAACTCGATTGGTTAGCAACTAAATCCTTCAACCATGCCATCGATCTCTTCAGCGCAGATAAAGATGAAGCATGTAAACGATGGGCTGAAAAATCAATACTGATTGCGGGATATTGCGATGATGCGGGAAGTTTGCAGAGGCTTTTGGTGCAGAGATTTGGGGGTTTGAAATTCGATTGTTAGGGTTTGGGTGGATGATGCGATGGAGATAGGGTGGTTGTAGGATGTGTTCGGTTGGCTCTACATAAGGTGCTGGAAGATCGAGTATTGCACGGATGAAAGATATATCTTATGTTTTGCTAGGCTTTTCGCTGTGAATTTATCACCTGCAGATTATTGGGATTTTCAAATAAGTAAACTGTAAACTATTTGCAGATATATTGTTGACCTGTAGGTAAACAAATAGTCTGTAGATTATCTGCAAATTTCTAATAAATAATTTGCGAATAAATAAACAACCCGAAAAAATGTCTACTTTTTCCTTCAAATTTTGAAGCTATTCCCAGATTGTGATTAAAGCTTTGATATTATAAAATGATATTGGAATTACATTTATACTAAACATAAAATTATCTATTTCCATAATATTAATGCGTGCAGAATATCCACAGATTATCTTAAAGGCCTTACAGATGGTCCGCAGTGTAGGTAGGACTTTCTGGATCACCTGTAGAGCAGACTACCTGCAGATAATCTACAGGTGCGGATTACTTCTCCACAGCCTATATATATATATATATATATACAGAGAGAGATGCATCCCTTACGAGCTCGAATTAAATTCTTGGAACTTTTTTCTTGTAATTAGTAATTCATTTCCAAACACGTAAGATCTTACATACATAGCTCAAAATCACTGCAAGTGGGCATTTCTTCTCTTTTCAAAAACTTCTTTGGATTTATCTCGGGGGGAAGCTACAGTTTTTCGAACAGATGTATAGGGTATACGAGTCATATAATTGGACGACTGGTCACTAGAATGCGAGGAAGAGAAGTAGGATAAGATGAGATAAGAAGTGACCAGCACATATAATAATTCTAGGTAGCTTCTTATCTCACTCCTTAAGAAATAAATAAAGGAGCGTCAAAATAGTTGACTTCCCAGCAGTCAACTCAGAATCCAATCTACACCAGCTTTTAAGTGCCAAGATAAGCTCTACTCATCATTGTCCCAATCATCCACAATACCCCTTTTACAACCCGCGGAAACCCTTGATAGGAAATCTGAAGTTGACATGATGACTTTCCGCACCATTAAGCACCACAACCTTACTTTCCTTCGCCTTTTGGCTCGCTTCTAAACTTTCCCATCCTATGGCGGCTACAAACACTTTCCCCTTTCCGTCAACATCGTCTTTGGAAAGACCAGATGCGACTCCGGTGCAGCCGTCTAGATCCTTGAACTTGGTGACTTGAGCGCGGAGATCGTCTTCGGAAGCGGCGCCTTGTTCGATGGTGAGCATTTGGACGAAGTGGGCGTCGATTACTTCTTTGGGGGCGTAGGGTTTGAATTCGATGATGATGAGGTTTGGGGGGGCGGTGAGGTTTGGTTTTACTTGGGCTAGCATTTCTTGGAAAGCGGGGGTTGCTGTTGTGGAGAGTTAGATGGATGTTCGTGTTTGGAATAGGTAATATGGGTAGGACAGTGGGGTGGAAATGTACTTTGAAATTTAGTGAGCGCTTCAGGAGATTCCCAACCAATGAGAAGTTCGAGTTTTTGTTGATCTTCGCTGTGGGGTCCCCAGCTTTTGTTCTAGTTAGAGATGCATTATGAATGAATGATGGCGAAAGGAGCATACCGAGTGCGAAGATAACCATCTTGAGTCTTCAATGTTTGAAGCATGAATTTGAGACCCTCCTTCCATTCTTCAACTCCTCCGCTAACAGATAAGATAACTCGTTCAGTGATAGCCATTTTGAGATTTGTTGTTGTATGTGCTGATGATTATGGATTGAGAAGTCTTTTAAAATTGTGAATTGTTGAGATTGTGCCGGACAATTATTTTGAGAGATGAGCTGAATGCGATGATGTGATGATGTGATGTTGTAAATCTGGTGGTTATTCATCGTCCTTATATACATTATCTGCTGTCAACATACATGGATGTAAATTTTGAGCAAGATCCATGAGTCCATGGCAGACATCCAATAAAAGGAGGCGTTCGCAACTCATTGTTACAGCTAATTTATTCACAACAGTTGAAGCATTAAAGTGCATTCCTCATCCGAAAGTACTCATAACACATCCGGCACGTGATTATAATCTTGCGAGCTGTATGCGGGAGTTTTCTTTACTCTTTCTATTGGCCAGCTCATATGGTAGAAATTTGAATGGCGCCCCTAGATCAGCTATTGTAAGGAATCTTGAGTTCGGAAAGGCCGTTTCATGAGATGCACGCTCGGGGTTCGGATACCATCGCTACTCGAAACAAAGATGTTTGCACTGATCGCGAGTGGGGCATTGCGATGCGATGTGACAGGTGGCAGATGTCAACCCTTTCAAAGTGTTACTTCAGACGATCTTATTGCTCTGAGTTCGCATTCTTTAAGCAAAACAGATTTGTGCGCACGGTATACGCGTCTGTAATGCGGTTCGCATCGCGCATGGATTATGCATTGAAAGTGGCTAACTCCGAGTCCGAAAGCTGAGCGGCTGAAGGGTTTGAAATCATATTCCGGACATCTAGAACACCATCGAAGTATCAAACACTCCGCTAGGGTTGCACTTGCATGTTTCTAGTATCACCAAAAAATCATACACCTCAATCATGACAACTTGACAAGGATGACAGCTATGTGAATATCAAAAGCTAACAGGTAAGCAAGTGATCAAGAAAAGTGTTCACATAAGGAATCAAAAGTAGTTGTGGTAGTCCGTAAGCTTATTAAGATGGGAAAACGCCGGTAAGATCATATAAGAAAGGATCTCAAATTAAATCTTCCCTTGAACATGCATTCAATCACAACACGAAAGAACTACCCAGTGTTGCAATGATGGGGATTGAGTTGCCAATATCGAGAATGTTATTTGAAGTATCTTACAATACCCGTCGATAGCAACTTGACTGCTGAAAATGTGGTTGATAGTCACTGCTTGTTGAAGAGAAAGGTGCATTTGGTGGTTGGTTTTTCCTAGCACCTGCATTCGAACGAGATGGATATCACGAATGCCATAGCTGGAATCGTGATTGGAAATGACCTCGTGTGACAATGGTCCAACATACAAGAAAGCGAAGCTTCTAATATGTAAAAATTCAATAAGCATAGATGTTGAATGATAGGTGAATGCAGTGTTGATGTTGCTGTCGTCGACGAAGTAAGGAAAAGGTACTGGATCAATTGCATACGAGATTATGTAATATATCATGACTAAGCACCTATCTCCAGGCGATATCCGAAGTTTGATGTTTGGCTAAGCTTCAACCTCCGAATGTTCAACCCCACTATCCACCAAAAGTACTAAAGCATCCTCGCATATCAAGTTTGAGTTACCCAACGAATGAAGGTAATGAGATGGTAAGCATCATTCGGGGTGTTCACTGACCTGCCAATTTGGGGGTACAAGTTCTGATCCTGAAATATCTATTGGGAACACCTTAGACAATGAATACTTGTACATACCTAGGTATAGGTGTACCTGCTTGAGAGATATTGCCACTTCATATCAATTCAACCCCGCCTTTACGCACTCGCTGAATCTTCCAAAAGATTGGTCTAGAGTGTTAGTCTGATATCCCATCGGAGACCTCCATCGGCCTAAGTTACAAGATAAGAAGCAGGCCCAATATATCATTATTTCCTTCTTAATGAAAGATACATCCTCTCTTTCTAATATTCTGTTCTTTTCTTTTGGTTTTCTGCTTCCAATCATCTCACTTGTTTAAAAGACCTAACTTTCAAGAAGCACTGAAAGATCCTTGTGGCAAGAAACATATCGTGAAAGGGGCGTTGGCGACCTACATTTGTCGATAATTAACCTTCGAGAGGTATCACTCTCACAACTCACAATGGCACCTATTGCTGTTTCCCCGAATTCCTCGCCGGAACCTGCAGTTTCTCTTGCCTCCAGACACTCCCTCTCTTCCGTAACAACCTCTTACGATGATACCCTCCGTTTCTATCTCAATGGCACACGAGTTGTCCTCGATAATATGGATCCAGAGATCACTCTTCTTGAATATCTCCGTGGAATCGGCCTCACAGGCACAAAGCTAGGATGTGCAGAAGGAGGATGTGGAGCTTGCACAGTTGTTGTTTCTCAATACAATCCAACTACTAAGAAGATATATCATGCAAGCGTGAACGCATGCTTAGCGCCACTGGTCAGTGTTGACGGAAAGCATGTTATAACAATAGAAGGAATTGGAAATACAAAGAGGCCGCATGCCACGCAAGAGAGAATTGCGAAAGGAAATGGTAGTCAGTGTGGTTTCTGCACCCCAGGTATAGTTATGAGCTTGTACGCACTTTTACGGAATGATTCGAACCCTTCGGAACATGATGTAGAGGAAGCGTTCGATGGAAACCTTTGTAGGTGTACAGGATATCGTCCAATTCTGGATGCAGCTCAAACTTTCAGTTCTGGGGCTGCATGTGGGAAATCTAAAAGCAATGGTGGAGGTGGATGCTGCATGGATAATGGCGGAGGTAGCGGTGGATGCTGTAAGAACGAATTGAAGGATGATCAACCTATCAAACGTTTTACACCTCCTGGATTCATCGAATATAACCCGGACACTGAACTCATATTTCCCCCGCCACTTATGAGGCATGAATTCAAACCTCTAGCTTTTGGCAATAAGAAGAAGAAGTGGTATCGTCCTGTGACTATGGAACAGCTATTAGAGATAAAGAGCGTTTATCCATCGGCAAAAATTATCGGTGGAAGTACAGAAACGCAAATCGAGATCAAATTCAAGGCTATGCAATACACAGCTTCGGTTTTCGTCGGGGATATTCCTGAATTAAGACAATTTTCATTCAAGGATGACCATTTAGAAATTGGGGGCAATGTTATCCTCACGGATTTGGAGTCGATCGTCCAACAAGCAGAGAAGCATTACGGACCCGAAAAGGGCCAAGTTTTCAAGTCAGTAGATCCATTTGTCCCTGAATTTTTCATATTATTGCCATTCATGCTTTCGTGTCTATCATTGAATCTTATCATATCTTTCTTTCGGGTGACGTGAGGACACATGAGCCTCGTCAAACAACAAAATCAAGATTTCATTTAAACGGACTTCCTTGCTAACAATATCTACAGAGCCATCCATAAACAGTTGAAATATTTCGCAGGTCGACAGATTAGAAATGTCGGTACCCCGGCAGGAAACTTAGCTACTGCTTCTCCCATCTCCGATCTCAACCCTGTCTTCGTTGCATCGAATGCTATTCTAGTCGCAAGATCTCTAGATAAGGAGACAGAAATCCCCATGTCTGAATTCTTCAAAGGTTACAGATTGACCGCACTCGCCCCTGATGCAATCATTGCTAGCATTCGTATCCCCGTGACTCAAAAGGGAGAATACTTGAGAGCATACAAGCAGTCGAAACGTAAGGATGATGATATTGCCATCGTCAATGCAGCTCTTAGGGTTGCCATCGACGATTCGCATACTGTTACTAGTGCAAGTCTAGTATACGGAGGAATGGCTCCAACCACAATCGCGGCTAGAAAGGCCGGTGCTTATTTGTTGGGCAAAAAGTTTTCAGATCCTGCAACTTTGGAAGGGACCATGAATGCGTTGGAAGAGGACTTCAATCTTAGTTTCAGCGTTCCTGGAGGAATGGCGACTTACCGCAAATCGCTTGCATTCGGCTTCTTCTATCGCTTTTACCATGAGATTTTATCCAGCTTTGAGATCAAGGATTTGGAAGTAGATGCACAAGTTGTACCAGAGATTGAACGTATAATATCTTTTGGTAAAGAAGATAGAGAAGCCACTGTGGCCTACCAACAGAATGTTCTCGGGAAAGCAAGTCCACACGTAGCTGCCCTCAAGCAAACATGCGGAGAAGCACAATATACCGACGACATACCTGTTCAAAAGAACGAGTTATATGGATGCTTAGTTTTGTCAACGAAGGCACATGCTAAGATCATAAGCGTCAATTCTGCTCCTGCAATGGATTTACCAGGTGTGGTTGAATATGTTGACCATACAGATATGCCAAGTCCAGAAGCCAACTTTTGGGGAGCACCAGTTTGTGACGAACCATTCTTTGCCGTTGATGAAGTATTTACAACAGGTCAACCAATTGGTATAGTTCTTGCTGATAGCGCAGCACATGCAAGTGCAGGAGCACGAGCTGTCAAAGTTGAGTATGAAGAGTTACCAGCAATTTTCACAATGGAAGAAGCTATCGAAAAGGAAAGTTTCTTCGATCATTACAGGTATATAAAGAAAGGAGAACCAGAGAAGGCGTTTGAAGAGGCAGATCATGTCTTTACAGGTGTTTCTAGAATGGGTGGACAAGAGCACTTCTACTTGGAAACCAATGCTTGTGTGGCAATACCTAAAATCGAGGATGGGGAAATGGAAATCTGGTCTGGAACTCAAAATCCAACAGAAACGTAAGTAAAATTGGGATGCAGTAATATTCTTCAGCTAACAATCCATCAGCCAAACTTATGTAGCGCAAGTTTGTGACGTTGCTGCAAACAAAGTCGTGAGTAAGGTCAAGAGACTTGGAGGTGGTTTCGGTGGAAAAGAGACTCGCTCTATACAATTATGTGGCATTGTAGCTCTTGCAGCAAAAAAGACTGGTAAACCAGTCCGTTGCATGCTCAATCGTGATGAAGATATGATCACATCTGGCCAAAGACATCCTTTCTTATCTAGGTGGAAAGTTGCCATCAACAAAGATGGCAAAATTCAAGCACTCGATTTGGATATGTTCTGCAATGGAGGGTGGACGCAAGATCTTTCTGGTGCTGTATTGGATCGATCATTATCACATTCTGATAACTGCTACATGATCCCCAACATTCATGTCCGAGGTCGTGTTTGCAAGACGAATACCATGTCAAATACTGCATTCCGAGGATTTGGTGGACCTCAAGGCTTGTATATGGCGGAGTCATATATTGAAGAAGTCGCCGACCGTCTCGGTATGCCTGCAGAGAAGCTTAGAGAGATTAACTTCTACAAGGCAAACGAGCAAACTCATTTTAACCAAGCTCTTAAGGATTGGCATGTGCCATTGATGTATAAGCAGGTTCAAGAAGAATCAAATTATGCCGCAAGGCGAGAGGCAATTACCAAATTCAACGCAGAGCACAAGTGGAAAAAGAGAGGACTCGCGATCGTACCTACAAAGTTTGGTATCTCTTTCACGGCACTTTTTCTCAATCAAGCCGGAGCTTTGGTTCATATCTATCACGATGGATCTGTTCTTGTAGCCCATGGTGGTACCGAAATGGGTCAAGGTCTTCATACGAAAATGATGATGGTTGCAGCTGAAGCACTCGGCGTTCCCTTGGATAATGTATTCATCTCGGAAACTGCCACTAACACAGTAGCTAATACCTCTTCTACTGCTGCATCAGCTTCTTCCGATCTGAATGGATATGCCATCTTTAATGCCTGCGCTCAAATCAATGAACGACTTGCTCCATACAGAGAGAAATTCGGCCCTGATGCCACAATGAAACAGCTAGCACATGCCGCCTACTTCGATCGTGTCAATCTTTCTGCAAATGGATTCTACAAGACTCCAGATATTGGTTATACATGGGGACCTAACACCGGACAAATGTTCTTCTACTTCACCCAAGGAGTCACAGCCTCCGAAGTCGAGATCGATACTTTAACTGGTGATTGGACATGTCTACGATCCGATATCAAAATGGATGTTGGTCGTTCTATTAATCCATCAATTGATTATGGACAAATTGAAGGCGCCTTCGTACAAGGAATGGGATTATTCACTACGGAGGAATCCCTCTGGTTCCGTGCAGGACCAATGGCTGGACAACTTGCTACTCGTGGGCCTGGTGCATATAAAATCCCTGGATTTAGAGATATTCCTCAAGAGTTCAATGTGTCTCTACTCAAAGGCGTGGAATGGGAAGATCTCAAAACTATTCAGAGGAGTAGGGGAGTAGGTGAACCACCACTTTTCATGGGAAGTGCAGTATTCTTTGCAATTAGAGATGCGTTGAAGGCTGCTAGGAAGGAATATGGTGTGGAGGCTGAAATTGGGGAGGATGTTAAGGGTGGCGGATTACTGGTATTGGAAAGTCCTGCAACACCAGAAAGGATTAGGGTTAGCTGTGCGGATCCGATCTTGAAGAGAGCGGAGGTGAAACCAAGAGAGGGAGAGAAGAGCTTCTTTATG